TTCTACTCTTTACTGGGGAGTGTACGGGTATATTGCTTTTGATGTATAATTAGGGGCAGACTGAATTAATTAGGTGTATAGTATATAATGTATAGTATAGTACTTCTGCCACTACAGTGATCAGATCCAGGATAGATTAATATTTAGTTCTCAGCACTTTTGCAGAATTAAGATAAACGGAATGGAAGAAGATAGTTGTATATAATTTCATTCATGTATGTAGCGCACAGAAGGAAGCGTGGCAGACGCCGCAAAGTATGTATGTTTATTAGTAATCAGTATGACGAGTAGATATAGCCATTTTCGTCTACCCGTCTGCTCGTCCATCGAAAGTATCTCTGGAATTATAAGAGCTAGAATAACCAATCACCCTAGGTAGATCAAGTTGATTTAATATTTCTGATGAACCCCCTGAAGAAATTCGAAATTTATAAGTTGAAAAAAAATTAAGTTCAACTTTTTTGACTATTTCATTGCCTTACATTTGTCAAACAAAAGGTACTAAAACAAAATTTCAGAATTTATATTTAGAGCTCAAATAAGTTTTTGATCATGTCGGACCTTTGTAGTTTGCATAAGGTTTGATTCTGCGTCCAGAACGTCTAATCCGCCAATTCGATTAAAAGATATAAACAATTTGTAGTTTTTTATGATGCTTGTTTGTTTAATTCGATATTGTATGAAGCACCAATGGATTTCGAACGTAAAGAAATGTTAGTTGTAAAACATATATCGTTGTATAAATGTGTGAACGAGGGAAACCCCTAAACTTTAAGCGACCATCCATAGCTTGATCGTACTTCCACGTACCCAGTCGATATACGAGTATACATACATATATTATTATAATATCATAATTCAACAAATTTTTCGTTAATATAGAAATTGAAGTTCCAATCGATTTTCCAATCTGACGATGCAGACTACACGACTACATGCCATACGTATGTCGTCTTTTTAATTGTTAATATTATATATGTAAGTATTTTATAATGATCGATTCGATAGTTTGGATAGCCTCGTATCTTATTAATGAAATAATAACTAAAAACATGAAAGGAATGCTAAAGTCGAGCAAGCTTATTCTTAAATACCCTGTACCACCCCACAAAAAAAAAAATTATTTAAAAAATTTAATTAATTTAATTAAATATAAAATATTCAATACATTTTTTTTATTAGCAGAGTGTATTTTATTTAAAACTGTCCATCGTGGACAATCATTAAATTGGTTAAATAAACTTGACAATTTATTATTTCATTTATTATGAGGTTGTAATATCCCACTAGTCCCTGGGGAGTTCGAGAGGTACATCACAAATTTGTTGGGGTGGTCATGTAGCCTCTGTATGTACCGCTTGCTGCTTTTCTTAATTTCGTCCTTCACCCAAGGTAAGCTGAGGACTTGATGAATAGTGTCGTTGTCGTGCAGAGGATGAGCTCTGGTGGCGGTGCGGAGAGCTTTGTTCTCAAATGTCTGCATTATGCGGACATTAGTCTTACAGGCAGTGCCCCACAATTGGATGCCATATGTCCAGATTGGCCTGATGATCGCCTTGTATATAAGTAGCTTTGATGACGTCGGCAGCTTCGATCTCCTACCCATCAGCCAGTAGAACGCTTTAACGCGGTTAACAACTACAGCTACAACTTTCTTCATAAGAGACCTATCATGATGAATCTTGGCATACGGACACACAATCACTAACTGGATGTGACTACCAAATTTCCAGTTTCCAAGAATTAGGTGAGTTTGAGAAAATCACGAACAGAGAGGACTGGGGGTGTATTGAAAAAATGAAAAAACTTGCCATTTCTCGAGCTTAGGAGAATCTACATATCAAGTTTGATTATTCTAGCTCTTGTACTTTCTGAGATCCTTGCGTTCATACAGACAGACGGACATGGCTATATCGACTCATCTTGTCATCCTGATCAATAATATATATACTGTTGTGTGTGTCTGTTTATGTCTCGTGTGTCTGTGCAAAGCAAAACAAAAACAACAGCTGTTGGCACTGCTTGGGCGGTGATTATATATATGGCTATAACTTCCTGTTAAATCGGCCTATCATGATGAAACTTGGTACACCGACATATAATCATTAACTGGAGGTATTTTCTAATTTTCAGTTTGAAATTTGAATTACGAGAGTTATGGGAAATCACTAATTGCGGTGAAGATGAGGGAAGGAAGGAAATTCCAAAATACACATTTTCTGCCTTAAGGCATCTTGGACTAAAATTTGGTGTCCCTAGGTATCATAGTCTCTAAGACAGGCGATTATACGAATGGAAAATCGGGATATCTCCCATAAAGGGGAAGTGGGGGAAAATCAAAAATATAAAACAAACTGCTTCCGCATCCACCGTATTCTCCAGATCTGGCCCTCGACTTTTTCCTGTTCTCAGACGTCAGGAGAATGCTCGCTGGACAGAAATTTTGACCCGATGAAGAGGTAATCACCGAAAGTGAAGCCTATTTTGAGGCTAAAGACAAATCGTACTATAAAAATATTATCGAAAAATCTTATGACCGCTAGATTCTTTGGCAACTATATTGAGTAATAAAATCAAATTATATAAATGTGTTTCGGTACTAGCCTGCGAATTTTTTAGCCCACCTTTTTAGAGATCTGTGTATAAAATCTATCCCTTATGGTCTCTGAGATCCAGGTGTTCATATGGACGGACAGGTAGACAGGACCTTATCGACTCGTCTTGTCATGCTGATCAAGAATATATATACTTTGTGGGGTCTCGTGCGCCTCCTTCTGTCTGTTACATTTTTCACCTTCCGTAGACATAATACATATACATATACTGTAGTACATTTCATGTACAGAGTATAAATACCTACGGTACCGAAAATTGCCACACCCAGACACACACACACAGAATACAATCCAGACGGATGGATGGACGGATATGGCTATATCGACTTCCATCGTGTGTAGTTATCAGCATTATAATTGTATACACTTTGGCCGATTTTCGCCGACTATAGATGTGTGTTACATGTGCTCTAAAATAGTAATTTCTTTAACCCTTTGGGTACAAAGCATAACAAGAAAATAATCGTTTAGGTGAAGTAGTGTTTTCAGTTGTTAGCTAAACAGATACATTCATAGATGTATTTATGGCTATGTACATCTGTGTGGTTTCCTACACAAAAAAGTATATAAATATGTATGTATTTAAAAGATATTTTTCTGAAAAAGGCTGCATACTTTTTGGCTTTCCGACACTGACCGTACTTTTGACTGAGGAATAGCGTGTTCCCTACAGTGCACTACAGTCTATTAGCATAGTCTTTTGGCATTACACAGGAATTAAGAGTTCTGATACATGTAAATACTAATTTACATATAAATAATACATACATGCACATATGTACGTAAGTAATCATGAAGGGGTTTTATAACGTCGCATATGTATACGTTTGTAGTATAGACGTTCATGTAAAGCAATATAAAATGAAAATTATGTGAAAAATAAAGAAATAACAAACAATCAAAAACAACCCAGAGGAGAGGTCAGTACAATTCAAAAAGTTTTCCTATTGCATACTTAGTAACCCAATAATTGCTAAATTAAAATTCTTACGACAGAATACATACATATGATGCATGTACATAGGCATTTTGTATGTATGATCCATAATGGATCTAATAAACACATAATTGTGTATCTATGTACATATTTGTACATACATAAATGACAAACTGAAAGATATTTCCTTTATTAAAGTGACCCCTAAAACAACACTATAACGTTTGTACCAAGCATTATTTTCGAGTTTATGTACATTCATAGGCATGCTAAGTATGTATGCATGCATATACATACATATGTAGATAAAATTGTATAAACAAGTTTCTTTTCTCTTTTGCAAAATGAAGAAAATGTACAACAAAATGAAAGACCTAACGAAAGGAATGCTAAGCAAAACCGTAAATAATACATGCATGCATATTTGCATGTGTGTTTGTTATCTACACCGGTGTGAGTGTATGTCAGTGAGAAATAAAATACAAGGCAAGCAGTGAAAATTTAGTAAAGATCACAAAGAGTAACAACGCTCACGCACACCAGCTTTGAGCGAGTATTGGTGTTGTTGGCAAACCATTCGTGAGAAACGAAGTAAAATGTAGGAATGCTGTGAGCAACAACAAGTTACTACCCATACATACATATGTATGTATGTATGTGCTTGTGTGTTTCTGTGAGCATTGAATCAAATGGGACTGAGCGTCTGGATGTGTATGCATGTACATTTGTAGCTTTGTATGTATGGAAGACTGCAAAAATTGCAGTGCTATAAAATTGTGTAACATCAGCTTATTCCGATATTTATATGTATGTATTTACATATGTATACATATATTAAAATATGTATGTTTGTCAATACGTATGCATGTACAAATGTATATAAAACCTAAAGGGACGATTTAAATCGGTTCTGGCACTTATTCTGACTTGCTAAGGTAATTACATATGTATGTATGTATGTATCTACAATGTATGTATGTTAAATATGTACATACATACATACATACGTACATGCATATTTCAAGCGTCGGAACAAAACCGCAAAAAACTGAACACATGCATGCATATCTATGTATGTATGTATGTCTACACATACATATGTATGTATGTATGTATGTACATAGACGGGTCCACAACGATGGTGCTGACGGTTGGGGGCTGACTAGCGTAAAACTGGCTACGCGCCCATCGGCCGACGAACACACAGACTTACACCAATACATATGGAAGGCAAAAATTCAACAAAAATACATACAACGAACAGAAAAAATAAAAACGACACACACAAATGCACGTTCGCATGCACACTCATACTCAGGCAACGCCAAAGCGACCGCAACAAAAACAACGTGGCGGCCGATTGTAGGTGTGTGTGTATTGGGAACGAACGAACTACATAAGCAAAGCGAACAACGAGCAGCACAAGCGAGGTAGCCATCAGTTTTCTTTCGTACGTTCGCCGAAGCACAAGTGTGCATCCGTCGTGTCAGAGTGCAGGAATACAATTGTTGCCTGCCAATTTTATACGTTCATATGTTCGTGTATGTGTAATGTTTGAATTAATAGCTGTTTTGTATAAAAATGAAAAGTGGAACGATAACCAAAAATTTCAACCATCAAGTAGAGTCAGTCAGTGGCCAAGTGCGAGCATCTTTGTGTTAGAGTAAAAAGAAGAAAGCAAACCGTCTAGATGTGAGCGCGTCTCACAGGTTGAGAGTGTGTGCGTGAGAGAATATAGGAGAGAGTAAACGAGCCAACTGCGCGCTCGTACAGTGTGCCGCGCTTCCACATTCACACTCATACTCACTGTTGTTGTGTTTGTTGAACGAGCTCTCGCAGTTACGCTTGCCGTACATCGTACAGCGCGCGACTTTCCCGAAAGTGTAATTTAGAAAAACTAATAATACTGTAAACAACTGCAATAACTTCTTTACATATGCACATACATTTCTATATGAGTGTTGAGTATAATGAATAATGAATGCGCCATGATAAATAATTGATAATTAAATAAAAGTTTTTTACGTACATATCCCAATGTAGCAAAGCAGCCGCAACATGTTAAAAATAACACATTAAATTCTCCGACATTAAACCACCACCAAGCTGAGCACATCGAATATACCTAATATTTGTAATCTAAAAGGAGCCTACAAATGGATGCACAATTTGAACATTTATGTCGAATTTGTGCGGCAAACACAAAAAGCAGAAATAATTCAGTGGCTGAGAGCGTTTTTATATTTAAAACGGTTGGATTAAAGGATAAAATAGAGCGGTACCTATATTTAAATGTAAGTGTATAGAATATCTTTGATCAAATGCTTGTTTTATCATACATAATTTTACTTGGGTTTACTTTTACTTTAGTTACCACTTGCTTATGCAAACATACATATGTACATACATACATGCATAACGGTAAAAGATCGGCCCAAGCTTAACGAAAGAATACAAAACGGCAAATTGTCTTCCTCTCATATGTTTTACTAATTTAGCTTATTGAACATATGTATGTATATGTATGTGTATATATATATGTGTACATACATATTCACTACACATTTTATTACATACAGTTTAGCTACCTTATAAAGACTTGCTAAAGCACATGGAATAATGTTTTGTGTGGGAAGGATAAATTAGATGTAATGCAAACTATTGAAAACAGATATGACAAAGTATTGTAATACAAAGTATTGAAAACAGATATGACTTGTTGAAGGGATATGTGCAATGGAGAAGTAGTACTATCAATAGGTAAACACAATTTAAAAAGAGAATGGACCCTAAGTCTATAATTGTGAGCCGGGTTAGTTATGCTTATGTATGTACATATCGATGTATTATATGTACTATGTATGTACGTTTCATCGCCAAATAATTACGTAACCTTTTGTAAAAATTCCATACCCCGGCAGCATAGCAGAAAAGTTTCTAAATATAAAACCACTTACAAACATACATTGTTTGTATGTAAATTAAAAATGTGCGTTCATATATTTGTGCGTATAAATTTATATACATATTTACAGTGTACCAAAGTAGGCAAAGAAAAATGTTCATACGAATCCAATAAGAAAGCGCGAACGTGAAAGTCTCTCAAATTGTTGCGGGTGTGTGTCCGTACTAAGTCGAACTGTGGATTTATTTATGTACATAGACTCACACAGCCACAATGTTGTAGTTGTTGATCCTTACTTCTGTTGCAGTGGCAAAGGAGAGAAAGCCAATTGTTTGCAGAAATGGCACAAGGCAGCCAAACAGCAGAAAATCTTGTTAAGTGACATCAACACAATTGCAAAAAGCTTAGTAGACACCAATACATCACTAATACATACACATAAATGGCCTGACTCAAGGCAAACACGCGTGCTTGTGTGCTGCATATGTATGTATAGTATGTATGTGGGTGCTTTAAAAGCGCAATAGCAAACAAAGCGAACTGAACGTTGGAAAGCAATACATACAACAGCAGTTTAAGCGCTCCTGCCTTACATGTTATTGCATTGAGAGAATTTTTCGTATGTAGTATGTACATACATACATATGTATATTATGAGCATTAATACATTATTTTCTACGCATTTTTGAATGTATCATGAAATCGTTGTTTTTGTAACAACCGAAAGAAGGCGTGACATCCTACAAATAGAATGTAGTCGATAGACAATCTGTGTGAATGATTTCGGAAAATTAGCAAGTATATGTATATTCTCCTAAGCTGGAGAAGTATGTTTATGTTTTTATACATTGTACCCAAAGGTTAAAAGGTATACTAATTTTGTGCGAATGTATGTAACACACAGAAGCAGGCACCCCATAAAGTATATACATATATTCTTGATCAGGGTGACAAGCCGAGTCGATATAGCCATATAGTCCGCCTGTTCGTCCGTATGAGTGCAAGGATCTCAAAAGGTATAATAGCTAGCATAACTAAACTTGGCATCCAGATTCTCCTAAGTCCGAGAAAGAACGAGTTCGTGTTTTTTTCTGATGCACCGCCCCACTCCCCAGCTATAAGTGATTTTCCATAGCTCTGCAAGCATCAACTGAAATAAAATGAGTAAAATAGTAAATAACAATATATGTACATACACTTGCATACGAATATACGAACAACCTGTGTGGAGGTATTTCAATGCATGCAACAGAAGGAAGCATCTCCCACCCCATAAATTATGTACATAATATATATTCTTGATCAGCATTTCGTCTATCCGTCCGTCTGGATGAACGTATAGACTTCGGAAACGGTACAGCTCATAATTATTAAGCATGTGGTTAGACATGCCATGGTGTGAACAGCAAATGCGAAGTTAGCCAATATTATTATGTTTATTCATATACATATGTATAGGAATTTTAAAGGGAGACTAACGATGGAGAACATACGTATATAGTATAATCATATTCAAACAACATGTAGCAGTCGTTACAATACTTAGTTTCATATTTACATAGTAAATGTAGTATTATTAAATAACTTATACATAATTAGGTATATAACTAACCCTCTATGCTCTATTGCAGGTATCCGAACATGACCCGCTGCCCAAAGTACTATGCAAATCCTGTTATCGACAGGTGGAAGCCACCGCTTCTCTTTCCAACATAGCTAAACACACCCAGCGTGTTTTTCGTGATTTTTTGCTGAGCACAGTGGTGAGTAGGAAATTAAGCAACTGGAGTATGCTCTTGATGCAGGGGACATTTGCGTTCCCTTATATATAAATATATAATTGACAATTTTACTTACAGCCAAAACATGCCCGGGAATCCACGGCGGCACTGCTCACTGGCCCCGCAACCTCGGAAGGTAGCATCAGCGTAACCAGCGGGAGTAACAACAGCAACAACAACAACCATGGTAGTAGGGATGATTTTCGCCCCATCGTACTAACGCGTGCGCCAGAAACAACAATTGCATTAGCACCTCAAGAGCCTGATGATGTTCTTAGTTTAAACAAGAAAGATAGCAATATTCGCCAGCAGCAACAACATCCACAGCAGCAACATCCAAAACAGCAACAGCAGCAGCAACATCATCATCAACAACCACCACAGCAGCGCGTTAGCACCAATCTGAACAGCTGCATCAACATGAACAACCTAATGCTGCCACCACGGCGAAATAGTGTGTTTGTGGACACACGTTATGGATCAGCGCCAATGTCCATAGCACAGCGCTCCATGCAACAACCACCGTCACTGGTTCCTTTGAAGCCGGAGGTAACTCTTTCAAAGGCCTCAAAACCCAGTACTGACAAAAAGAGCTCACCAGCAGGCGTGATCAACTTTATTCAAACCCACGGACGCGTTACGGGCAATGCTGTATCTATAAGCAGCAACGCCGGTAACCAAAAAGCCGGTAACGCCAAGAGCAGTAGCAGTTCAAGTGCGTCAAGTGCGTCAACTGCTCGCTCTACTGTCACCCCTCCTACAATTAGCAGCATTGGTGTGCCCAATTTACCAAATAGCGTGTTGCAGCAGAAACGTCGCAATCTTAAAAATACTTTGAACAACATAAAGGCCATTCAACAGAGTGGACAAGTGTCGCTACTAAAATCATCACAGCTTCAGCAACCTCAACAGCGAATAGAAGAAGTAAGCCCGCTGGTCACTACTACCGTAGTGCCACACAAATCACTTTTCGGAGGCGAGCAATCGGTTGAGGAGGCTCTACCTGAGCACATTATTATAGCGGCGCCAAAGAAAAAACGAGAAGAGGCAGTGCTGCCACGGTCGGGTCCACCAAAATTACAGAAAATTGGTACTACGCCAGTTAAGCCAACAGTGCTGAGTTCAGCCAAAGGAGCAGTATCACCATCAGCTGGATCGAAGGATGCCAAGTCTAAAATACCAGCGAGCATGAGCAGCCTTACCGAGGCCATTTCTCTCGGAAATGTCATTCGCGATCCGGATCTACTAAAGCTCATACTGAAGGCGCTTAAATGGCCAGTGACCGCTGATAATTGTGAAGAACAAATGACGCGTCTGAAGAACTCAAAGTTTGCCGTAATTATGTCAGATAGTAATCTCTTGCAGGATGATGATTTGACCCAACTGTTGGGACCATATCTTGGACCTATGCTAGCTGTAGCTCAGCAACAACAGAAGCAGAAGCAATCCTCGGTTCCGGCTTCACATTCGGCCCCAACGGCTACCACGCCTTCACCAGCGCCAAGCCCGCCCCAGGAATTTCAAAATGTAACCGATTTGACTAGCACCATGCCCTACAAACTACCACCGGAAACATCGGTGCAATTGGTACCATCCAGTCCTACTGAATCGGAGGCACCAGTACCACTTGGCAGCAGTTCAAAAACCATTTCAGGTTCAAAGCGTTCACAACGCAAGTCACGCGTTCGTGATTCATCATTGGCAGTGGTCGAAGATCAACGTAATTCATTTAATATAGCTAGCACTTCAAATGCTGCTCGCGTGACAAACGAACTCCTGAACATTAATGCGATGTTAATCGCTCAATTTGGGTCCAATCCAGCCGATGCTTTAAACGAGGCGCTCATCTCAATGTTAAAGCAGCAGGAGACAAACGATCGCCGCCAAAGCATCCGACGTCGGAGCGATTCTACTGCAAGCGCTGGCGTTAATCTGGAGGACATTGTACTGATAGAGCCTCAGCCTTCCCTGGACCCAGAAATTTCAGATCCGTCAATTGAAGTTGAAAACATTACGATGTCACCTCCAAAAATTCCCGAGCCTCCGCCAATAACTCGACCCATTATTAAACGTCGAAGAACGGTTATACACACATCCAAGCAGAGTGAAAATCCAACTACAGCCAAGGAGGATCCTCTGCCCATTCCAGAAGTTTGCGAAAATAGCAGCCCTGAGACTGAAATCTCGCCGAATAAAGACACGGAAGTCAGTGCTGTCATTTCAACTATGTCCGACGAATTGATTATTGAAAAAGAGCAGGTGGAAACACCACAAGATCCAACAAGCACTGTGCTCGAGGCCACAATAAGAGATAACAACAAAACCGATGCGACTGATGCGCATCTTATAAGCGATACCAGCACCAGCTCTGGTGATAGCCCTTGTAAATCCAGTCCTGTCAACGCACGTAAAACGACCGTAAAATCTGCACTCGGTCAGAAACTACTCGAGGCCATTGGGCTGCAGCAGCTTGGTAAAGATGTCGCACCAGAGAGTTCACGGGATAGTTTGCGAAGCGCTCTGAAACGCTCGTTAAAGCAAGCCCAAGAGCAACAGCAGCAATTGAAACGCGTCAAGCAAGAGGAGCCTGTCAAGCAATTAGCTGATTCAACGACTAAGACAGTCGCCGGCGAATCTGCGGAGGAGCACAAAAAGGCCATAGCGGAGCGGGAGTTGGCGCTGCTAAAGAGAAAAGCCAAAATGTCAGAGCTAAATAGATCTAGCATAAAAGAGTGAGTTGTTATGAATATATTTTAATTAATCATCTGAGTGTAAAGTATATTTCAATCAACTGAATAACATAATACTTACTTTTATTTTAGGGAAAAATTGGAACGGACAGATGTCAGCTCTTCTTCTTCGCGTAATCGTCGCAACCGCAAGACCAAGTCAGATTCCAACAGTGGAGAGACAGCATCTGAGGAGAAGCGCGCCGAGCGTTGGGATGATGACGATGAATTGCCGTTGAAAACGGAATCGGATAAGGCAAGCGATAGTGGACGTCCCACACGCACCAGCAAGACTATGTCCAAGTATTACAAGCGACCAGGTAGTGATAAAGCGTTGTCAGCTCAAAAGTCCCATGCCATGGGAACGCGTTCGACACGTCAACGCTAGACGTTAAGAGTTCACCTTATTGATACAAATTAGTTATTTTTTTCGTTCAATATGCGACCACTTACTGAAAGTTATTTTGTGCCCAAGGCTCACAATAAAAATACTTTAAGCCCTTGAAGAATTTGATTATAATAATTTTAAGCTAAATAGTATAATGGGTTACTTTGATAGTCGGTAAATAAATATGAAACAAACGCATACTTGTTTAAAAAATTATAAAATGCAATAAATCTTAATGAGAAGGAGTATTTATATTTAAATACTATGAATTTAATTTCGAACATACCTACGTACATATGTAGTATGTATGTATGAACTCTGTATATACTAATGTTAAAAAAGATATTTTTATTCAACCAATTAAGCTTTGATTCGGGCTTTACAACTAAAAAATGTATCTGTTTACACATTGAATGCTCTATTCTCTTCTCAATCGTGCAAATATTATAAAAAAAGTTGCCTAATATAACAAGCTGTACATATATAAAGGACTAAAAATTACAATACAGAAAATATGCTAGAAGCAATAAGAAACGTTCAATATATTAAATTTACTCATTATTTTGTAGTTGTATTTTTATAAGATCATACAAGTTATGTACATACATATATAAACAGACGTTTTTGCCGAACAAAATTTGGACACTGTAGGCAACTTAAAACACATCAATTTGACAATGTATTCCATTAATTTAAATTGAACAAAATAAAATCATATAAAAATGGAATAGCATCCCAAGGCCTTATCAAAATTATTACCTTATCATTTTAAGATCTAATAAATAAATAACTTTATATTGTATATCCTGTATCCACCAGTCAGTCATTGAGGAGGAATGCAGGAGTCGTTTCCTTTCCTAAAGCCCCGGTACTCACTCCTACAACATTATTGGTTGTTTTATTATAATATTTTTCAAATTAAAATGAATTAAATAAAAACAGGGTTCCAAAGCTAGAGTTTAGAAGGCCTAACTTTTTTATACAGCGTACCCACTCTCACAAAATAATAGAAATATTTTTAAAATGAAGGATTTTCTAAAATTTCATTAATTTAATAAAAGTAGGTCAATGTTTACGTACAGTTTCAATAGTGTGCTTGTGTCCATATGTGTGCTGTGCAGACTTGTGCAACAGCTGCCGGAAGAGTTAGGAAAGAGATTACATTTATTCCAAAATTTAAATTAATTTATGCTTAAAACAAGAAGCTGAAGTCGGGAGTCCCGACTATGAAAATTAGTGGTAAACAAGTGGAGAAGCTAAATACTCTGTACATATGTATGTGTTGAATAAATATGCGTTTCTTACCTGTTTGTGTGTGTCTATGTATGTCTCGTGTGCCTGTGCAACAACAACAATGTGCAGAGTATAAACAGATAGAGATCCTTACTTAAACGCAAATAATGTAACCCAGGTGTAAACAAATTACCTATAAAATTCCTGAACGAGATGCTGCTAGTTTAGAATCATCATAGAACATTCTGTCACTTCAAATATTAAGGCAATGTTATTCAAAAGTCCCCAGCCAAATAAAAAATTACAAATCGATCTACACCGTGAATAATATCAAAGACACAGTCCATTACCCACAAGAATTTTTAAATTCACTAAGCCCTTCTGAAAAAACTAGTACCGTTGTAACTAGTACCTACTAATACCATTGGCTGACATGCATCCTCAACACTGTGCTTGATAGAAACTTGGTTGTACGCTTAAGACACGCTCGTGTTATGCATCGTAATACTCTTTTTTGATCATCACCGATAAACACATAAAATTTGGTATTAGTAAAAACTAGTACCGTTTAACTAGTTTACCTTTGTTACTTGTGACTCTACAAGTATTACAGTAAAAGAGTTACTAGTATCAATTATTGGCTGTGTGCGGAGTGTGTCCAAAATTTATATTTACATCATATTAGGTATCTTGGACTAAAATTTGGTGTCCCTAGGTCTTACAGTCTCTGAGATATAGGTTATTATACGAACGGAAAATCGGGAATCCCCCCATAGGGAAAATCAAAACAAGATAGAACGCGACAGTCGAGCAAGCCCGACAGTAAAATACCCTGTACTCTCCACAAAAAAGGAAAATTTAAGAAAAAAATGATTTAAAAACATTACAACAATTTTTGCCATATAAAGTCGACCAAAGTTTTTTCATTGATCATATGCATAAGTTATTTGTTAAATTCATCGTGCATTATTTAATCAACATTTTAATTTTTTGGTATGTTGTCAATCGTGTAAGTAAGAGATATTGTCTGGACCGAGATGAAAATTCATAAACTGTTCCAAATCAGTTAAGGAGCATATGGTTAACCAAACACCTCGGATGCAGTTAAGATATTCGTGCAGACAAGTTTAATGAAGCGGATCTTTATACGAAAAAATTATCTTTATATCAACGTCATACACATAAGTCCATATGTATATGGTAAAATACGGAATGTTATTGATAAACAGTTCTTTCCAAATAGCAAAAATTAACCTATATTGATAAAACTTAACATGAGCGCAAATAAGCACTAACTCTATGAAATTGTAGAATATGATTAAAAAAATTCCAAGAATTACGGGAGTTATGGAAAACACTAATAATAACATAAACATATCCTTCTTCGGACTTTTGAGAATCTGGATACCAACTTTTCTTATTGTAGCTCCGGACGGACATTTATATATCGACCCGTCTTGTCATGCTGCACCATCAGTGTGTAGTATATGTATTATCCGGCCATATTGACATTTTGTATGACCATCCCTTTCCGACACAAAATGAAACCAATGACTGAACGCAAAACAACAATGCTCCATGTCATAAAGAATATTAGTAATATTAATAAACGAAATATAAAAACTCATGAATTAAGAAGAGAACAAGAGTTTTGAGAATTAAGTTTTATTTACATACTTTTCACGCGAATGACATGTGCGAAAATACCTTTGCATTTATTTTTGGCATACGAACCGTTACATTTATATGCTGTACAAGAGCATATTAGGTTTGCGGGAGCTGACAAATGTAACAGGCAGAAGGAGGCCTGGCAGATCCCACAAAGTATATATATTCTTGATCAGCATGACAAGGCGAGTCGATCTGTGTCTATCTGACCGTCTGTCCGTCCGTAGATAGGTAGTCACCAAATTTTGCACAAAGATAGCTTATGTGTGTACGTTATACGAGTTTGTTTTATTTTTTTGATTTTTTCACCCACTTCCCCTCTACGGGGTTTTTTCCGTAACGTCATTCGTATAATCGCCTCGGAGACTATACGACCTAGGGACACAAAATTTATAGTCCAAAATGCCTTATGTGAATACGCAGAAAACGTGTTTCTTTGGAATTCCCCTCCAGCCCCCTTCCCCCACAAATCGTGATTTTCTCTAACTCCCGTAATTCTTGAAATGTCGAACTCAAATTTGGCAAGTACGTCCAGTTAGTGATTATGGTCCATCTTCCAAGTTTCATTATGATAGACCAATTTAACAGGAGGTTATAGCAATAAATAAAATTGCTGCCCTAGCGCAGCCGGTTGTTGATTTTGGCGCTTTGGTTGACTGCAAATATGCTCACACGGACACGATTTTTTTTAAGTTTCTTAATTTTTTTAATTTTTGTAATTATTCTAAACATATGTACAGAGTATTTCAAAGTCGGAACACCCGACTTTAGCTTCTCTTCTTGTTTAATTATTTTTTTGTAGAAAAAATAGATTTACTTAATCGTATGGCTGTCATAGGAATGATTGCAACAAAGTTTATTTCAGTTCAATGACACGACTTTAATGTTATACTCCTTATGTTTAACATTTTATTTCAAGCAACAACTTTTTGATTCACTAAAAAATGCATCCACGTGCCAAAGATTACGCTCAAAATAAATGCATGGCGCAAAAATGTAGTGTAAATTCTAGTAAATACTAACAGAAAGTAGAAAAAAACATATAACGGCTCTTTTCCAGAACTTACTGTTTGTCACAGAGCAAGAAGAATACAAAATACCGTTCTTTTATCAATCCGCATGCACAGAGTATAACAACTGTAATAGTCTGCTACGTACAATACTTCGAGTCAACATCAATATATTTTACTGTATATACATTTAACAGCACATATGTATGTATGAATGTACATATGTTGACATTACTGCGTAGAATTGTTAAAACCATATGCACCTCTACACATACATATACATACATACATACATATGTACATGTATGCACGGAAATATTATCTAACAGATACTCAAGCAAGCATGGCGCAGCTCGCAGTCTCTTCTAAATAAAAAGGCAAAACACAGAAAAAGTATTACGCGTGAGAGCAGTGCAATTTCTGAAGAACTTTTGTGCTTGCTGTTGAAAAATTGCAAAACCAGATGCTCTGAGCACAAGTTAACGATTTTTTCATATTTACATCCCTGCGTGTTCGCGTATTCCGTTCTTCATTCGTTAAAGTTAAACGTGCTTACCAAGAGAGCGTTAAAAAACGCTCTCCCGAGAATAAGCTCCAAAGCATCTGAAACGCAATTGTTGTTCAAATTTGGTTTTTAGTATGACTGCATTGGTGTTGCTAGCTTGTGGTACTGTGCGCGAGTTTTACGATCTTTTCGATGCCTTTTGCCTTAACGGTTTTAACCTTACTCGCATTCTGCGGTATTATCGCACTAAAAAACGATTAAATCTATTCAATTTTTATTGTCGCGAGCGCTGGTTGTGTCAATTCAAGAAAAACGCGAAAGGTCGCTCTGGCAACGAACCCGGCAGCATGCAAGGTAGAGCGAGCGTCGACGATATTGATTTTGCATCCATTGAGGCCGCCTCGGAAGCTATCGATGATTTTGGCCGCAGCTGTCGGCAAAATCAACTGCAGTTCTTGAATGCTGAGCGACAACATCTTGAGCAACTCAAATATTTGGATGACATCGAGGTGGTCGATGGCACAAAATTCAACGTACGTAAAAGGCGTGGTGTTTCATTTCATTAGTTCCATGTGAATATCGCTCAGCTGTAACCGTAGTGTGCAAGGGTATACTACAAGTAGAAAGTAAAAATGCTAAATGTACACTGGTCGGCACAATTATTTTGACGAACTGTACTCACGACTATCGGTGCTGGTTGTTTTTAGTTTCAAGGAATAACGGTACAATTTTCATACGGGATATAGAGTTCATAGCAACAACAATATGTAGGCAAAATATTTTGTCTATTACTCTTCACACCTTCTTTCTACAAATGACAATGTGAGTTGACTGCGGATTCAGGCACGGCATAAGTATTTTGACCAAATCTTTGTCGCCGTTTTCGCGCACGTTTTGTCAAGTGATACTAAAATAACTTTGCTGTAACCATTTTTGTTGACCTTTCAACATTAAATTCATTCAAATTTGATTGAAAAGTTATAAATACAATGGGAAAAACAGCAGAATTAAATTATGTTGTTAGAGCCTCAATAGTGGCGAAGTTTAATGCCGGCGTAAAACCAAAAGACATTGCAAATGAATATAATTTGTCGCGGCAAACAGTCCACTATCAAATTAACAAATATAAGACCCACAATGACGTCAAAAACTTGCCTAGTTCAGGTGCTAACCGCAAAACAACACCCATTGAAGATCGAGTCCTATTGCGGGAATTTAAAAAAAATATTCATTTAAATCCGCAAGCTGCTGCAGATCAATGGAATAAGTCGACCAAGACTCCAATCAGTGAGCGTACTGTTCGGCGACGCCTAAAAGAAGAAGATTTTAAGACATACAAAGCGAAGGACATACCTTACATATCAAAGGTGAACAAGCTCAAAAGATTGGCTTTTGCAAAGGAGCATCTGCATAAGCCAAAAGAGTTTTGGAGAAGCGTTCTATGGACAGATGAAAGCTCCTTTGAATATAATTCATCAAAAACAAAGATTTTTGTAAGGCTCCCACAGTTTCAAAGACAAAAAAATATCCCCGTATGTCAAAAAGTGAGCCATGGCGGAGGCTCAGTCATGTTCTGGGGATGCATTGCGTACAATGGGTTAGGTGATTTCGTTCCCATCATCGGCTCAATTAACCAGCAACAATATTTGAGTACCCTTAACGAAAACGCATTCCCTTCCGGTGACAGGCTGATTGGAGAATCATTTATCCTGCAACAGGATAACGCCCCATGCCACAAAAGCAAAATGATAAGAGCATTTTTAACCGATGTTGGTGTTACTACTCTGGATTGGCCACCACAAAGTCCGGACTTAAACGTTATTGAGAATGTGTGGTCTCTTGTAAAACGTAAAAGAAATGCGTCTTTGCATAAAACCGAAGAAGAAACTATTTCCGAAGTCACTTCTCTTTGGAAAGAGATACCATTAGAGGTCCTTCAAAATTTAGTGGACTCAGTTACAAGACGTCTTCAAAAAGTTATCGAAGCCAAAGGCGGGTATACATTTTATTAATCTACCATCAATTTCTTATGTTTTGTTTAGTATTAAGCTTTGTTTTTTTTGTTTATATCCATTGTCAAAATACTTATGCCAACCCATGAAAATTACCTTGATTTATAATTTTAAAAGTTCTTATAAAAATATATCCTTTGAATTATTTTTAAGTTTGTAATACCAATATGGAATTGAGAAAAAAAGTTTCCTTTGATATCTTAAACCAATAACCAGTTATTGACAAAAATGTATGATTTTCTTCTCGTCAAAATAATTGTGCCGACCAGTGTATGTAACAGGTAAAAGCACGGGGTACGAACCACATATACATATATGTATGTCAACACGACGAAAGTAATCGATAGAGGCATATCCGGCTGTGTGCCCATATGAAGGTACCTAAGGGAACATCATACTGGCCATGTAGACTTCTCCTTTAATATAAAATTTATTATAAACTATGTATGTACATATAGCCTCATTATTTTATTTAGTTGCATTGGCGAAAAATAGCTTTTTTATTTACGAGATCTTTTAAGCAAATTCGGTACTTATATGTCTTTTATAAGGCCTCAATATCATCCGAAACTTGATTAAAATCGGATTGGTGGAACAAAGTTTATATGAGTTAAATGACTGTGGCGGATATAAAGGCGGGTGCAGGGTATAAATAAGCCGGAGTCGTGTGAGTTTAAAGTTCTAATCGCTTTTCATTTAAGTTATTGGTTTCATTGTGCCTTTAGTTTATGCATGTGTGAGTATGCAAGAGCAGCGCACTTGGTCGCTCAGAGAGTTTATTCCGAGTAGTGGCGCTGTTACCAACAGTGTTGCCAGATTTTAAAAAACTAGCTAGCTTGAATAAAAAGTAACACAATAAGAATTTAAAACATAACATAAATATGAAAAAAGTGATTTTATGTTTGTAAGGGATTTTGTTTTAGGCGTAATAATAATTATTTTGAGTTAGATAAACGAATACATATGGTACTTAATTACGTATATTTGTATGTACTATTTACAAAACTATTCTTTGTAGCAACATGAAGAATTTTAACTAAAATGTACCAAATATTGAAACCTATTTTAAGAAATATTTTAAATAGTAAAATTCCACAATCTGCGCATAATTGAAAGCACTAACCATACAATGTTGTATGGTTAGTGTTGAAAGGAATTGATGGTAGAGAAGCTAAAAACTGCTGCTGAATAATTGCAGTATTGTGTTAAATAAAACACAGAATTGCCCACATACACACATACGCATGTATGTACTTACTCTTACACAAGCATATGCATGTATGCATGTATGTATGTTGAATTTGCAGTTTTGTGTCTCTTGTTGTTTATATCCATTGCACATGGAGAAAGAAAATACGGTGTTCTCTAGGTAATGACGTCACAATATGTTCTGTGGTGTAGCCATATTGTCTGCATTGTGCCTTTCGTGCTAATTAAAATAGAGAGCAGACGGTTGATTTCAGATTCCGCGTCCATAGCCAGTGCTGCCGTGTTATTTACACGGAGCTGCCCTGCGAGACGAGATCAGATTTGAACAAGAAAACACAAGAATGAAGACCATCAACGGTGTAAGTAAAAACCTTAGTAAGAGCGCGCCCTCCCTCATTCGTGTGACTCACGCAGAGGTAATTGTGTCATAAGAGCTCAATAAGAGTAAAAGTTGCACTCTTAGTAGCAGTTACACCATCCCACATGTAGGTACATACATACATACATATGTATGTAAATATGTATGTATGTACATTATGTACATATGTACACATATGTGTACATATTCGTGTTTGCTTTTCGTAGTCATATATGTACATATGTCATGCTAAAAGCTCTCGCCCAGCTGAAACAAAAAAAGCGTCTCCCAGCGAAATATTTCTCAGACGAGTAGTTGTTTTCGTCCAAAGCACACGCGTTATGCGGATAAATAGTTTGCCGGGTGAATAAGCGTGGAATATCGATTTAAAAATAAAAACAAAAATGACACTGCGGCAATAAGAAAACACGCGCTGCAAAAGCGGGTAGTATATAGAAATTTGTAAAAATAAATAAGAATATTGCAAATACGAGTACATGAAATCCAGCAAGTGATGTTTATTTAGTTAAATACATCTGTGATGAAAAGCTGGAATTTTTTCCAAGTGTTTCTAGTATTCCATACATAGAAACTGGCCTTCTAGAAATTTGTACATTGTTATTGCTTTAACTGAACAAAGCTTTACGAACGAATAATGCATACAAATTAAAATGTTATGTTATTTTGACTGAAACCGTCATCAAGTACTGCAAAAAAAAAAAAAATAAATTCCACTATATGAGCTTTCAAAGCTACGAATAAATATAAATACATACAACTAAAAATACACCCCATGCTATAAGCCGTAGTGTGTTTACATACATTGATTGACATTGAGAATAAGATATATTGAAAAAAAAAAACATTTGCAAGATTCTGCAACGACTGATTGCTTTTAAACAAAAAACGAAATCAAAACGCAGTACCCGAATATTTTAAACGAATAAGTACACATGAATTACCAACTACACATGCACATTGAATTGCTTTAAAGATTACGATCGATTTGAGTATGACGCATTATTTTGGGCGTTAAATACTATCTGGCGAGCTTTTAAAGATGTGTTTAAAGGCTTTATGTACAAAACTGTTTGGCTGCTGTCATCTGTCGAAGAAGGAGGGCTTAAATGAGGTGAGGATAGAGTCGAGGCTAATCATAGAATATATGTATATTACATACGAGTATATGTACTATATTAAATGAAAACTAAAGAATAAATACTATTTGTTGCTAAGGAAACTGTTGTTATACCAGGTGTGTTCCAAAGTAAACAGGACTTATTAAAAACAAATCAGGACAAATGGTTTTTTCGGCAAAATCAATTTATTTTATTCAAAAAGTCTCCTTCTGCTTCAATATAGCTTTTTGCACGATCCAAAAGCATGTCGAACGAGTGTTTTGCTCGGTGGCCGGTATGGCCGTCAGTATGCCGGTGCAAGCCTTTTGAATGGCCTCTACGTCTGCATAACGCTTTCCTTTCATGGGCAAATGCATTTTTCCGAAAAGGTAGAAGTCGCACGGTGACATATCAGGTGAATGCGGCGAGTGGTTAATGGGTAAAATGTGATTTTTGGTCAAATAATCGGTCACCAGCGTCGATCGATGAGAACAATTTTTGGTCGTCAGTCAATTTGTGCGGAACAATCCGTGCACACACCTTTCGTAAGCCTAAATGTTCGGTCAAAATGCGATAAGATTCAAAAAGTCCTGTTTACTTTGGAACACACCTTGTAGTGATGAGCATTTAATCAACCATAGGGTTGATTTCGGTTTAACAAATTGCCACAGGCTGTGTACTATAGTCAAGGAATTTGTATGAATTATCTTTGAACGGTGTTCCACAAGACCTATTAAAAGTCTAGTTTAAATGTTTAAATACATAGAATGAACTGAACTATAGGAAACTGGGTCAAGGTAATATGAATGCCCTGCGTTTAATGTCAATCATTACTGATAGTTTGAAGAAGCTGACAAATGTTGTCCCTTTTAGATGTTTGGCATGATCCAGCAGCTGCAACTGCTATTCGCAACAGCATTGTAAAGCCCGTGACAATACTAGAAACTAACATTCAAATTGTACGTTCCTAATTGTATCCTTTTTAGGCCTCATTCTACGAGTACTCTGACGCGATACCGAAATACTACAACGATCAAATTGGCCAACTCAGGGAGGGCGTTAGCTTCACCATAAGCGGTAAAATTCCAATAAATTGCGAAAGGTAAGTAGTACCTTATTCCAAAGACTGACCGATATTACAGCTCATAATAACAATCGCACAGGTTCTCAATAAACTTTACGCACAACAATGAGACGCGCGATATTGCGCTACACATTAATCCTCGACTGCCTCAGAACTATATTGTGCGCAACAGTAAGGTCCAGGAGTTATGGGGTCGGGAGGAGGTGTCATCTGCTTTGCCTTTTATGCTTCGTCGTGGCGATAACTTCTCTATCCAGGTGCTCGTCACCGAAGCTTGCTATATGATTTCGGTCAATGGGCACCATTTCGCGGAGTACGCCCATCGGCTGCCATATGCGAGTGTTCGGATTTTGGAAGTCAAAGGAGATGTGGAACAAGTGAATATGCAGTGTGATGAAGTCCAAGCATACCCAAAACGATTACCTGAGAGCCAGGCACGTGCCATAGCTCTGCTCTTGGACGATGAAGATGAAATCGATGGCAGCTCCGCGGACCTCATCAACATACCACGCGAATGGTGTGTCATCAGTTCTGGCCCGAAGCAAGCGGATGTTTCACCAAAGAGCACGCACAGTGAAAACGATCAGGGACTGACGTTGCCCTACTACGGAGTCCTGCCTCCCAATTCATTAAGAGAGGGACGGTACCTGAGGATTGAAGGCCGAGTACGACTGTTGCCGCACTCATTCTACATCAACTTACAACAGGGCCAGAACATTTGGCCACATCCTGTCATAGCATTCCATTTAAATCCACGTTTTTCACAAGGGAGCAGCGGAGCTATCGGCAAAGCCGTCGTTTGCCGCAACGCCTGGTACAACGGTAATTGGGCGCAGGAGGAACGATCTGAGTTGGATACAAACTTTCGGCCGGGCCGAACTTTTAACCTGGCCATCGTGTGTGCTGCCGATGCTTTTGAGGTGTATGTGAATCGGAAATTCATTACTGCCTTCAAGTACCATGTGAAGCTAGATTTGGTCGATACTGTCTACATACAGGGCGATATAAAATTGTGGAATGTTACGCTAGAACAGAATCTGAAAATTAGGGGCAAGGATTTGCGCATCTACCATAACCCCATCTGCACGGAGGAATATGAGATTTAGAACGGTCTCAAAGAGCAAACTTTTCATTTTATTTGATAACTTTTGCGCCTGCATTTCAGCGACAATAAATTCTGAACGCTGCAAGTTCAACAAATTAGGTCAAGCTACAAAACTACAAAAAATTATTCAATGTGATGTCCCAAAGTTTTCTCATTTATATTTGTAATATTTTCTATTTACTCGTATTGTACATACATAAAGTTGGATAATACCACTCATCTATTTGTTTGATTTGAAAAACAGAGGAGTCTCAAATACAATTCTTGTACATTTTTGCAATAAATAATCCGGGGATGCAAGACAGTTTTCACAGTTTTCATAAACACATGTACTACAAGTATAGTTACTAGTGATCATATTTGTTTGCCTTTATTTTGTTTTCAATAATCCTCATTGCAAAAGCATCACAATGGATCACAACCTAGCCCAACAAATTGCAAGTTACATGTATATTCCTCTATTTGTCTAGATTTTACTTAAAAAACATAATATATACTGAAGAGCTACAATAATCTGATTCGATGAGTGGTTTTGAACCGATACTGCCAACTTGTTAAAAAAAAGTCATGCCTTCATCAGTTGGTTGCTGTCTCTACTGTTCTAAATTTTGTATACTGTTATACCGGTTTGAACCGGGTATTAGTTTATTCCTCACCAGTTATTTTCAGGCAAGCAGTTGGGTCTAGTGAGGGGTGAACAAGGGAGAGGCAGCCCCGTAAACCTAAAATCAGAACGAAACAAAGATATCGATGCCAATGGATTCATATTAACATCGTTATCTGTCTACTTTTTGGTTTTACTTTTTTATTTTCAAAAGATTTATTAACATTTGCGGCATTTCTGAATGGAATTAGAACTAACTAACTAACTAGGACTGAGATAAATATTCGATCTTAAAAGAAGTTGCCTTTATGAATATCAATTTTTCATTGTGAGTCATGCACATGTAATTATCGATCCACATTCATGATAATAGTAATTTCCACAATTTAAAAGCTATACTATATCGGCTCTTTTTTATACAAATTTCTGTTTCGATAGGATTTTGATTTTTTTTAAGTTTATCAAGTAATTAAATAATGAAATGTATGCCTTCACTAGTAAGTGATAATTAAATTAACAAGCGAAGCAAATACATAAGCATTTACACTTTTGCTACCTTCTAAAAATTTGAAAGACCCTTAAACACATTCAAAGCAAACGTAATGCCTGCCGTATTACGACTCCTGAATCAGCTGAGAATAGTCCTTGTAGCTTACATGTACAGTAGTACATGTACAGTAGTACTACTATAATTTTGTATACCCTGTACCCAAAGGGTAAAAGGGTATATTATTATTATTTTTTGCGAGTGTACATGTAACACACAGAAAGAGGCGTGGCAGTCTGCCGTCTGTCTGTCTGTTTGTCTGTCTGTTTGTCTGTCTGTCTGTCTGTTTGTCTGTCTGTTTGTCTGTCTGTTTGTCTGTCTGTTTGTCTGTCTGTTTGTCTGTCTGTTTGTCTGTCTGTTTGTCTGTCTGTATGAACGCAAGGATCTCAGAAAGTATAAGAGCTAGAATAACCAAACTTGGTATACAGATTCTCCTACGTCCGAGAAAGGGCATGTTTGTTAATTTTTCCCGATGCACCCCCCACTTCCCCGCTATTCACGATTTTCTATAACTCCCGTTATTATTGGAATTTTAAACTAAAATTTGGTAGTGTTATGATAGGTTGATAAGAAAGAAAGTTATATAGTTATACATAACCAAGCCCTAGCTCTGTCCGCAGCTGTATTTGTTGCTGCTTTGACATAATTCTGTAATGCACACATACAGATGTACAAGTAAAAGTACACAAACACGCATAGACACGATTCTGATGTATGTAAATGTAAATGTGTGTATGCATGTATGGAATATTTTATATTTAATTTAATTAATTAATGAAATGGTGGTACAGGGCATTTAAAAATTGAGCCTACTCGACTTTAGCATTCCTTTCTTGTTTTAAATTAGAGCAGACTTACCAACTTAACATTTTAAGTGTGTTAGAGCACATGATTCCATTTTTCACAAATTTATAATCGAATGTACGTTGCCCGCGAAAAATGAAGAGTCACCTTACTTTTTAAACACACCACGTATGTGAAAACTGAGAATATTGTGTTTCTTTTTCGTGTGTAGAAAAATATGGGGTGGAGTAAAGATATTCTTTAAATATCGTACCGTGAACCTTTTTGCCACAGAGTACAATTGAGCCAAAGCAGCAGAGATTACATTTAAAGTTGACCTATCGCGTGCACACAGGCACTAACCGGAAGTAAATGATAAATTTGAGTACAAAATTCAAAGAAGTACGGGAGTTACGCAACCTATGAACCTAAAAAAAACGACAAACTTGTCCTTTCTCGGACCTGATGAATCTGAACACCAAGTCTGGATACTAAGCTGGTTAATCTAGCTCCTATATTTTCCGAGATGCCTATGAATCGTCATTGTGAACGAATTTCGAATTATACTATCCAAATTTCGTTAATACTATCCAAATTTCAAAAGCTGCATAAACCAAACTTTGTACACGTAATCTATATACTTGTACAAGGAAAAGGAGGAAAATGTTTTAGTTCTACGTCCACAAGCGACAGCATCGAGTTCGCTCTTCTTCTTCCTTTTGCTTCTGCTAGGGGCGCATATAACTCAGTGCCGGAAGTTTGTCTGGGACCCTGTTTCACCCAGTTTCACTGTCGGACTTGCTCGACTGTAGCGTTCTCTCTTGTTGTCCTTTGGGTACAGGGAATAAAACATTTATACGTATACCTATGCGTATAGTTATTTCCCTGAGAACATGCGAATATTTCGTTTGAAAAGGGACTGGTTAGTCTTCGATCTGAAGCACGAAAATATGATCAACATGTGTTTTTTAAAAGGATTTGGATATCGCGGCTGAATATTTCATCTACATATGTCATCTGTAGTCATCTATAAATTTAAACTTTTATACAAGGTGTGTTCCAAAGTAAACAGGACTTTTTGGTCGTCAGTCAATTTATGCGGAACAAACCGTGCACACACCTTTCGTAAGCCCAAATGTTTGGTCAAAATGCGATAAATCGATGTTTTGGAGATGTTCAATTCCATTTCCATCAATTTCAATGATGTTTTTTTGGCTGATTTTTGATGAATTCACGCACAGTTTCGATGGAATTTTCGGTGATCACGAATTTTGATTGGCCCACATGTTGATCGTCATTTATGTACTCACGACCACTTTGAAAACGTTGAAACCACGCGTGCACTCTGCTACGGGATAGGCAATCATCGCCATAAACTTGTTCCAACAATTAAAACGTTTTGGTAAAAGTTTTACCAATTTTAAAACAAAATTTAATGTTGGGTCTTTGTTCGAAGCTCATTTTCGCACCGATAACACAAACATACAGACACTTAAAATGCAATAACTCCACTTCCAATCGATGAAATATCATGAAATTCTCAATGGACAATCGATAAAGATAGCAGATTCTAACGCGCCAGTCGACATATAGATAGCGCCACCAGGGGGCGCTAGATTCAAAAAGTCCTGTTTACTTTTAGAATAAAACCCGCAGTAGTAATGAGATTATTTTGTGTTCAAGATTGGTAAAAGGGAATTTTTTAATTGATTGTGTAAAAAATAAAAACCTTTTTAGTTTAAAATTAAGAATTTCATATATGCGATTCCTGGCTGACTGATTTTTTACGAACTGTACGTGTATGCTTGCTCCCTTGCCTTGATCTTAGTTCAAACACGTAATCCTATGAAATTTTGTCAAAATTAGCACTGTTTCTATTTATGCCGTACTGTTTGTGCCTATTTGATATCCATATTAAGACACTTCACCATTCCTCGCAGGTTCCCCGAGTATGCCTAAGCGCCGTCCAAGGCTGCGCAGTCATGAACGTCTCCGGGGCCATTCGGTCAATTGCGCTTCGACGCAACTTGGATGCCATGTCAATTTTTTATGAAGAACGTAGTGCCGTTAGTAAACGTTTTCACTTGAAATTGCTTGGGGTGGCGATGCCTGGGCTGAGTTTTTTCTTTCGAGGTTTAATTCTCGACACCTGCGAGCACTTTTGTATCGAATTCTTGACGAACCGAAGCCATTCAGATGGCTATGATGTGGCCCTTCAGATGGGAGCGCGTCTACCCCAGAACTACGTCGTGCGGAACTCGCGCTTCAAGGGCAAGTGGGGGCCGGAGGAATGCGCATCCAATTTGCCGTTCCAGCTAAAACGCGGCCATACCTTCTGGATGCAAGTGCTCCTGACTGCCGAGGCGTACTTCATATCGGTGAACGGCTTTCACTTCGCGGAATATGAGCATCGCATGCCGTACAGGTGGTTATCTTCTGTAGAGGTGCGTGGTGACGTCACAGACATAGTAATCGACCAATATTATGTAACAGAATATCCGAATCGTCTCCCCGCCTCAATGGCCAGCCCACTGCCATTCGTTTACGAGTCGTGCATTACGAATTCGATGAATGAGACTGAAAGAAGCACGATACCCCGTGAGTGGCTGCGCATCGATGTGCCTTCCAAGTACCTCAAACTGAAACGGCAGTTACATAATCAGCTCACCCTGCCCTTCTACGGACGAATGCCTCAGAAGGACAAATTGACCGAGGGTCGTGCTCTTCGTATTGAGGGCCGCGTGCGGCTGCTGCCTCAGTCCTTTAGCGTGGCCCTCCAGCGCGGCCAGGACATTTGGCCTCAGCCCACGGTGTCCTTCTACTTTTGTCCGAGCTTTGCCCGCCACAGCCGCGCCAAGCTGGGCAAGGCGATCATAACGCGCAGTGCATACATCAACGGGGCATGGGTTAAGCGCGAAGTGTCCCGGCTCCATACAAACTTCGGGCCGGGGAAGGCATTTGTTATACTTATTGCCTGCCGGAGGAATGGCTACGAATTGTTTGTGAACAACAAATCGCTCTTGCGCTTCAAGCATCAAATGAATCCCGCCGGAGTGGACATTGTGAATATACGCGGGGACATCAAACTGTGGGATGTTGTAGTCGAAAGCACTAGACTGATTCAGGGAAGAACGGGTGAGTGTGGCGTCATCAGCGTCAGTGCACCACTGCATCCGACCATGTATGACCCTTCTTCTGTCCGCCCCTTGCAGCTCGCTCCATCTTTGAACGGGCCTTTGGAACTCTACGTCCAGGGCGCAGCGAGTGAAGGAGAGATATGGAGACGAAATAAGTGTCTGTGCCTTGTTTCTCAGTCCACTTCGTACTATGTGTATGTATGTACGAGTATGCAGGTATATTGATTCACCTGCGAACGCAAAGACGGAACCTCCCGAAAGGCTCGATGTAAAAATTTATAGGAATCTTCATGTTTATGGTCAACACACACTACTTGTACGCGAGTATGTAAGACAAATAAAAGGTTCTATCGCCTGCCAGTCTCGGCTAGCAGATTTATGATTTCGATTCTACCAAACATTCTGCAATTAAAACAGCACGCCACAAACTTATCGAATACACTTGAAAGAATCTATAAAAGAACATAAATTCGATTTAATTTTATTCATTTTGCACCTTCTACACAAAGGGTATGTATTCTTCAACGTGTGAGTCTATTCGTTTGCCAAATCGTAACTGGACAACAAAATGATGATGATTTGTTTCGGCATTTAAATATTAATGACCCGTCCTTATCGAAATTGTATTTATTCTGTAGAATATTTGCAAAATGAAATGTTGATTATATCGAATAAGCGTGTCAGAACTGTTCCAATTAGGTATTGTCTGCTACCCCACATACATGAGTGTAATTTCTCAATTAAATTTTAGGACAATTAAGAAGAGAATTTTTTGTTGTGTATTTAATGCTCAGTTGCCCGGCGCTCCAGCTACGGCTCCTACTCATAAATGTCGACGTGCTGTCAACTCGGCGGCTGCTGCTTGAAACCATTGCCCATAAGGAGCACTCATGAAGGCAGTTAGGACCATAGCTGGGCTGGCTGGCTGGGCCTACCTGAAGGGCAAAACCGATTATTAAAAATGATAATCGATTAAAGTCGCGAGTGTCGTCAGTCCTCTGTCCTCAGTCCTCTGTCTCTCTCTGTTGCTGCACCGGGCATCTGCGGCATGCTGCGCCTATATGACATTTATGTCTACATGTGTTTAGCAAGACAGTTGACATTGTTTTGGCATGGCCAACAAAAACCGTCAGCAAAACAGACGATCCGAAAACGTCAAGTGGCCGCCAAATGCTTCCCAAGGCTAAGGATGCTCGGAAAAAATAATTTAATATTATTTATGGTTCAGACGTGTACGTGCTGCGCATGCTCAGGACCTATTGCTAATGAAGTGCACCAGCACTGGTAGTTGGCGGTTTGACTGGGGAGTTGGATTTGGACGAATGCCGGTGTCTACAGTTCCATTAAACTTATTTCATTTTCTAAGACACGTAGCATTTCATAAATAAATATGGACGAAAGTTGTTCCATTTCTTCAACATTCTCGTCGATCAAAAGTTCCCAATACTATACTAGACATACTAAGTATATTCCAAGGGAGTACCATATCTATGTAAAAAAAAAATTAAAGATGTTCAGAAATATATGTACCTAGTAGGCCCCAAGAGCCCGCCTCCCAAAGGCGAGCTCTTAAATGTCACACATACGTTGCAGATACTCGTATACTCGTACATTCATGCAACTATTCTAAAAACTCGACGACAGCACGTCAGCAAGAATTAAGTTGTACCCCGGAGGCGCCACCACCTGACTGCTGTACATATACATACATACGTATTTATATACGAGTATATACACGTATGTATATATGCACAGCTTCATCATCCTGGCATCAAATCGGCTGAAATGTCAATTGCATTATGACAGTTCAGAATATAGACTTTAGTGAAAAAATTCGAACTTTTTGCGCGGCCAGCCACAACGAATTGGTGCAAGAACGACTATTGGATGCACTGCTAAAAGTCCAGGAAACCAAAACATACCCGAACGTCTGTCACCTATTTCGCTGGGTATTGGCTTCAAAGGCAGGTTCTTTATGTTCTTCCCAACTCTATGGTAAGTTTGCTAGGTAGCTTTTGTAACGGATAAACGGTCGGCAAGTTTATATAATATTTTTAGTGCCGAATGAACCCGCTTTCCGTCGGAACTTTTAAAATTGACAAAAGGCCTCTCTAGCGGATGGCATGCCTAGATCGATTGTTTCTATCTACTAGTATGTTTACAAATGGTTCCACGACTCGGAGCAGTTCATTTATTTTTCACTCTACATTTTATTCTGTGATCCATTTTCAAATGGCGACAGATATCGATTCCAAAATTGATAAAAGAAAATGAATTTGGAATGGAAATTATTGATACTGTTGGGGACACATTTTTGTAAACAGTCCTCGTACATAAATTATGAAAGGCAATATGGCCTTAAGATTTTCTGTAAGGCGTTACATCGGGCGTATTCTTCGTAGCTACATAAATAAATAAATCCTAAATATCCTTAAGTTTTCTTGCTTGTTTAATCCAATTCCAAATTGGCTAACCGGAAGGTGAATCTCTGACGCTTTCAATCTGATCATTCATATCAATTTTCAACTGCCGATACACAGATGGTTAAAGCGTAGCAAAGAAAATCATTAATTTGCGATGCCCTGCTCAGCGAATGAATTCTCTGGGCTGGGACTAAAAATTCGTAAGAGTCGAAAGTCGGTGCACGCTACATTCAAAAATGCGTACGTCGTCAGCAAGCGCAGGATCTACCACGTTCAAAGGAAGAAGACACGCAGTTGGGTGACTGCAACCATCGGCGGCAATTAATCAAGCTTAAAATTAATTATGCGCACATGGACTTGCCGAACGGCCCTGCTGCTGCCCGGCCCGGTTCGTCAATGCCCTCTTCTGTCTGCCGGCGCAATTAAATTGTCGTAGCACCAAAAAACAAAAAACAAAAACAAAAAAAAATTGAATACCGAAAGGAACTTCAACCGGCGGCAACAGCAACCATGGGCGTAGCGATAATGGAGAAAGACGGTCAGCTGCCCCTACCTATGCCTATTTATTATTATTTTTATTATTTTCTCAATCTAAATCATTCCATAGACGAATAGACAAGCCGAATATATTAAACCACATTCGCCAAATAAGGTTGAAACTCCTATTAAAATCCCTTTTTGTATAATGCAAGCTGGTCAATTCGGCTTCTGTTTCCATATACTACATACAAGGTGTGTTCCAAAGTAAATAGGACTTTTTGAATCTAGCGCCCCCTGGTGGCGCTATCTATATGTCGACTGGTGCGTTAGAATCTGCTATCTTTATCGATTGTCCAGTGAGAATTCCATGACATTTCATCGATTGGGAGTGAAGTTATTGCATTTTAAGTGTCAGTATGTTTGTGTTATGTGTACAAGTATGTTTGTAGTACATATGTATGTACGGATATGTCGAATCCAAATTTCTATGACACTTCAAAGTTGTTCGCAGAGGCATGCCCATAAAATCATTTCCAAATCAATAAATTTTCATTTTCTGGTGCTTGCATATGCTGGCATGGTGCAGAAGCCAATCTTGCTAGGATTTGTCCCTCATCCCTATGACAAGCACAATACTTACGAATTTTGAATAAAGGCAAAATGTCCTTTAAACAAGAATGGAATGCCAGGATCGGCCGGGCCCATTGTATAGTCTGTACAGACTGTACAAACTAAAAAAAAAATGCTTAAGCCTACAAATAAAAGCTGAATAACAAAATTTGAAGTCTAAATTTTTTAAATTAAATTAATTAACTTAATTTACCACACACATACTATATGCTTAAATAGCGTTTCTGTGTGCAGTACACACATGAGCCAAAGCAACACCGAGAACAGTAGCAGCTGGCAGAGCATTGGCAGCGATTACATTTACGACTATATCTTCCTTGACAGTTGACCTATCATAATGAAATTTTGAATGAACAAACAAATTTGAGTGTTAAGAATTGCGGTAGCTATGGAAAATCACTTATACTTGTAGTGGGGGAGTGAGGGGCTATATCGAAACAAGAAATATGAACTTGTTCACGTCTTGTCTTTTCATCCAAAATATATACATATACTTATATTATTTGTACTTTGTATATTAATTTGTACTTTGTATATTATTATTTTATTTCATATTATTTGACGTGTACATTTGCGCGGATGTTCCTATTCATCGTTGTTCATTATTCATCATCCAAATAATATTTGCCGTTGGACACACAGACAGACGTTCATGGCTATATCGACTCGTCTTCCCATACAGATAGAATATTTAGACGTACATATACCTTGTGTAGTCTCCCACTCAACTAGTACACCCCCTTTACCCTTCTGGGTACGTTGTGATACATTCATCGCAAGCTGTTTAATAAACCGTTGCCCCCTGCTACACCCATGGTGGCAAGTGATGCTGCAACTGCTGCCCGATTGGGTCGTGCGTGTGGTAATTAAGGTCCCTTTCTACGGTACATTGATTTCGCTAGTGCTGGCGGTGGGGCCGCTGCTTGTTGGTTAAACTGTTATTAATTATGAATTTCGTCCTTTAAATATGACGCGTTTTTGCTGGCCACCGCCGCGGCGTTTTGACTGCAGTCTTTGCACCTTGATGCTTTATTGCATTTTGCGCATAACGCGGTCAGCGCCGCAAGCTGGCAGCTTTGATAATGTCATTACGAAACCTAACCTAACTTTTCCTTATATTGACTCAATTTCTTCAATCAGCATGCCTTCTTTGATTGATAGCTTCTCCTCAGCGGTATTATGATTGGCTAAATAATATGTCTTTGTGGTTAAAGAACCACAAAGCCTTAGCACCCGAGTACAATTCACAGACTACTGATGACAAAACTCCAAACAATAATAAGTACGCGTATATACATATATCAGTTGAAAATCGGTAGAGACACTCCTTAGTAGCCAGCAAAGGAACGATCTCCACCACAAGGACTACGCAATGCGCGTATTCCTAGATATCTCCGGAGAATGCCCACGGATGCAATAATAACAAGAGAGAACCGACAGTGTAATACCCTGTACCCAGGTAAACTTCCGTCACTGAGTTATATGCGCCCATAGCAGAAGTAAAAAGAGGAAGAAGAAGAGCGAACTTGTTTCTGCAGTTTGGGGGGGTTGTACTGGAGAGAATTTGTTTCGTTAATACTTTTTCTTAGAACCAACCGATTTAGATGAAAAGTAGACTATTATATATAAATTATGTGTGCAAAGTTTGGTTAATGTAGCTTTTGAAATGTGGACGGTATTGACGAAATTCTGTAGCGGGGGAAGGGGGCGAATTCCAAAAAATAAAATAAACTGGTCCTTTCTCGGACCTAGAACAATCTGGATACCAACTTTGGTTATTCTAGCTTTTATAGTTTCTGAGATCCTTGCCTTCATCCAGATAGATGGACAGACAGACGGACG